AAACGTTACTCTTGGTATGAAAATTAAAAAGTCAATACTACCAAGGTAAGTTCAACGTGAGTACAAATTGTTTTTATATCAGCATAAACAGGGTTTGAATTTATGGACGGCAAAAGCTTCAATAAATTTAAGCACTCGGCTTTGATCACTTTTATGTAGTAGTTTTCATGTCTATCCTGTAGTTAATTCCTAGTATAAGTTTAGCGATAGACAAAGATGGATGTTTGTTACCTGCACTTATCCGATGACCTCAACAGATCCGATAAGTGTTGATATAAAAAACAATTTGTACTCACGTTGAACTTACCTTGGTAGTATTGACTTTTTAATTTTCATACCAAGAGTAACGTTTTTTTCTTTTTCTCTCCCTTCCTACTCCTACGTTTCCTATTAACTTCATTGACCCTTTTCGTAAATTTTCACATAAATATATAGGTAAGTTTTTATATAATCCCAGCGTGTTTAGAAAATCGTAGACAAGATTTTTCTGAACGTTTCGCTGTGTATGCCACAGCTTCTTCAGCAGAATATTCGGATTTTATTTAATATCGAAATGCATACTGTCAAAAGGTACATGTAGAAATTTCTGTCTTTATGTAATTGGTAAGCTGTTTTGTTGTTCAAACTGATTGTTTCCAGTTAGTCATCATAAATTCATACAGTCTTTGTCATCTGTTACCAATTACATAAAGACAGAAATTTCTACATGTACCTTTTGACAGTATATAATTTGATGTTAAATAAAATCCGAATATTCTGCTGAAGAAGCTGTAGCATACACAGCGAAAAGTTCAGAAAAATCTTGTCTTCGATTTTCTAAACACGCTGGGATTATATAAAAACTTACCTATATAATGAATCAACCTGACTCGGCGCTCAGCTTCTTTCAGGACATTCGTAAAAACTATGGCCTGGATGTTTATAATTTCACATAATTAGTTCGGCAAGTTCATGTGTGATCAGACTATTCGGAATGTATAGCGCTAATAAATAACACTTGTTTCAGATAATCTTCGTCTTCTCATTACGCTATTTAGAGTATTATTTCCTGGATGACGTTTTCAGCACAAATTATCGTACACATTCACACAACAAGCAAGGCCATTAACTTAATAAAAGGTGAAACAGTGAAATACCCTCCTAATTGACGTTGGTTTTGGACCAAAATAGTAAATGGTAATTAACGAAGGTGTTCTATAAATCTTATTAACATGAAGAAAAAATAGTGCTCGTTTTTCTGTTTGCATCCTTTACTGCACATAGATTTGTGCTACTTACTAATAGTGAGTAGTGTAACCCTGCCCTTCTACAACGGCAACTTGTCTGTTGCTTTGATTGTTCATTTCGATTACAATCAAATTTTGTTCATCATCATCATATAGTGCTCGTTGATGTCATGTTTTTCTTTGGACGTTTGTTTATATCACAACGTCTAACTTGCACTGGGGTCTTCGTGGTTCTCAAATTTTCCACTCCTTGACTATTGGTTTAGAGAGATAACTTTCAACTAACGAGTCAGGGGTTGGAGTTTCGCTCCACTCACCGAGGTTTGGGCAACCAGGTAGTATCGGCAGCTCTCACACAATAGATATGTCTCATTGCCTACTGCATGAATATGCACGAGGTTGATGAATTACTAGTTTGCTTTAAATGCAGCTTTGATGTTTATATTGTTGACACACTGCCTGTAAGGTCCTTTTGACAGCGATAAACCTGCAGATGCCTCATGATTGTGGGTTTGCAATTTATTTGTTATTGTTTTTCATGAATACAGTACCACACTTCAGACAAATTCAATGTCTTGGTTTCGAATTTCTCGGAAATAAATCGGTACATCTATATGAGTTGCTTAACACCACTTGAAATAGACATTCATATTTTTTTCTTTCATAAGTTAAGAAACCTAATGTCTTCAGCTGGCTCCATTCTCAGGATTGTTTGGATCAGAGTTTCAGCCTTATTCAGCTGTAAAGAAGGTCACACTATTCTGTAGTAACATTCATATATAATGGTCATGCACTGCATTCCGATCTCTAGGATTACCTCGTATTATCTCTGCCTGCTAAGCTAGTTTAGGTGGAAGCTTTTGATAAGATCCAGAACAACATTTACCGGATGAGCTTATATTTAGTGTAAAGACGATGTATAACCGCATCAGTAAATTTTAATATATTTACACCAAACGTTTCGCGGTGTATACTGCAGCTTCTTCTGCAGAATACGCACAAATGAAAAAACTGCATATTCTACTGAAGAAGCTGTTGGATAGACTACCAGTGAAGTCTTGTTTCGATTTTCCATACACGGTGAGATTAAATTTAAACTTAATTATATAGTGGTTAAATCGTACTTGGCGTTCGATTTCTGCCAGAACATTCGTAACAACTAGGGGCTGGATATTTATGGCACCCCAATGATTTCTGATTAAAGTCGTGTATTTCAGTTGAAATTCTTAGTTTAACATTCACAAATTCAGGACGTTTGACGGGCATAATCACTTTGGTAGTAAGAGTAAGTGTATATATTTGACAACAGTTTCGCTTACTTTGTCAGAAATACCACAGTATGCTAAGAAAACAAATTGAACGAAGGAGCATGCAGTATTATTTCTTACAAAAACTTCTGAAAACCTGAGGGATTGAGCATTAAAGTGATATTTTCTGCATTATTGTTTGATACTTGTGATTTCTCGCTGCTATACAAGATCGAATAGGTCGATGTCTGTTGGCAGATAGGCTCCTATCGAGATGGCTCGATACTGTCGGATATTCATGTTGTTGTATTCATCTCGGGGCTCGTCTGTGAACAGAGGTCGAGCAGTTCTATCCTGTATAGCAAAAAGAAATTATAAGTATCGAACAACAACAGATAACGCCCTTCGCAACAGTTGTGGCTGTTGCATCCTCAGTGCCCTAGTGAATAATGCTTTTGCTTTTAAAACGATGGATACTGAGTTCGAGTCTCAATGGGAAGAATATCACTCACTAGGTTGTAGGTGCATCCAGCTGACGAGTCCCAAATGGGACGTAACACATATCGTAGAGTCGACTGCGAGTCACCGAGATTAATGTTTTCTGTATGACTGAATACCCCTGCAGCATATGAATAAACTTGAAAAGGATCACTTATGAACTCTTTTTGTAAAACATTATCTACGTATACATATTTTAAATAATGTAGTGCGGTGGCCTAATTGTTCTTGACATTGTTATTTATATTATTCCGTTGTTGAGTGAAGCGAATTTCATCGACAACACGAGAAGTGACTACCGTAAGTTGGTGGCATAGTAAATAACTTACTGGGATTAAAAGCAATCGGTCCTAATTTTTGGTCTTAGTTGGAACAACCACAGCTCAGTGGGAGGTAGGTGCATCTAGATCACATCTTAGATTCCGCCACCAGCTAGTATCTATCAGTAATAATCAACTGATAGCACGTGAGAATATTGGAACCATGTGTCAACAGGTAGTGATTTCTACAGTTCACAGTCTGTGAATAGTGGAATATAGCACCAGTTAACTTGCTTATCAATCAGATATTTTTAAGAAGTAATCCATTTTCAAAGGAGTATTTTGCATGAAATTTGCTGATTAGGTTACTTTAACAAAAAAGTATGCATAAATTAGCTAGTAATAACTTTGAATTAGCTTATCTGCATTGGTCTAACTGATGAATAGCTTTATACAGGAGTAAGTTATGAAATTCTTTCACAAAAATTAGAGTTATAAAATCAGTAAAACTTATGAATTAGTTAAAATTGTCTATAAGTATGGAGAGCTTTGAGATTTTAGTTTCTTGACTCTGTTAAAAAGTTTATGAATAAAAATAAACAATCAATTGATAATAAAGAAACTACTTGACATCACTTTATTTTTCTCTACTTCAAGTTTTTTCTTTACTTAAATCAAGTGAAAATTGAATTCTATTCACCAACTAGTATTTTGCATATTTGTTCACTTGAAAATTAATTTCATCTCATTTAAGAATTGTTCATTCTGTTATTTATTCAGAACACTGTTTATGCTTGTACTGTAAACAAAATGTACACAGGGGTATCAACATCTGAACAACCTACACTTAACCCAATGTTTTTATACTCTAATACAACTAAGAATTAAAAAAAAAGGAGAAGAATAAAATGCAGTAGAGAAAAGAAGGGAAAGAAATTAAAAAATACTGTAGCACAAAAAGGGATTCAAGTGTAAATAATTGAATATTATAAAAATTAAGCAATCAATGAACTTAAAGATATTGTTTAATAAACTGTTCAATATTCAATAGTTACAAAATGAACAGAAGAGAAGTGTTAATGAATAAGCTTTACTTTACATACGAAAAAATTAACAAAACTCGAGGTAACTGGATCATAATTTATTAAAAAGAATTATAGGTAATTGAGAAATACATATATGTATATTTACAATAGTATGCATTGATTGATTCATGCATTATAGAGTCTTTTCCGTAAGCAAGTAGGATATATTAATGTAGCAAACCAATGTAGCCTATTGTATTACTCGATTGACATTGATAATTGCCTGTTCACCTTGCTTAATGATAATGGAAGCGCTCATTTATAATATTTCTTCTTTAAAAAAAAACAGCAACAACATAAAAGTTTTCCAATATTTAAATATTAATAAAAATTAGATACAGTGTAAACAGTTAAAAGAAAAAAAAGAAAGTGAAAGCAACAATACAAGTGATTAGCAGTTCATTGAAACAAATCAATAAAATGAAGAAAATTTTGATAGAATATATAATATTTTCTAATTGTTAAGCATACACTTCCTATGGTGTTATTCACGAATTTCATTGAACATTGAACATGAGAATTGATTGTAGATTAAGTTAAATGATTCAATTTTTTCTTGAAGATGATTATTATTTGAATATTAAAAAAAATGTTGAAAATGTAATATTTAACAAGTAGATAGATATTTAAACGAAATTTGAAATTTAAACAACGAAAGAAATATTCGAAAACGAAAAGTAGTGATTAGAAATTTGTTTCATTTAGTTTTTGATGATTAACTAAAGATTTTTCTTGTGATTTTGAGCATTTTATATATTTCGATTGTTGTATATTATTTGATGTTTTATTGATTTCTAATAGTTTAGAATTTTGATCATTTTCATAAGTTTGATTAACTGGTTCTATGTACAAATCTTTCATTGGTTGAATAATACAATTCACTTGTTGTTGAAGTAGAAAATCATCAAATGTAATACGTATAGTGGTGAATGGGATACCACTTTCAACAAAATGAGCAATTTTTGTATATATTTCTGGATAATGATGTCTTAAACTGACACCTCTTTCACGTAGCATTCGTTGTAAACGTAGCATATAAGCTTCTCTAGCAGCCATTGCTTGTTTATCTGATTTACCACTTGTAATATTTGTTTGAAGTGTTGTATTTTTTTCATTATGTTGACAAGTATTCACTTCATTCTTAGTTCTCATGTTTTGATGTGATGGAAAAGGCAATATCAAACTTTGTTTAAATAAATGTACTGGTCGACCATCTGATCGAGCATTCAGCTCATATGCACAAACTACAACAATTAAAACCATACTTAAAGATGGATTATATGATCTACATGGATTGGCAATAGTTGAATCCAACTCTTGTAGTTCCCCAAGTGTTAAATACGTTGGTGGTGCCATTAAGCCACCAGGACTTGGTTGATGAAACTTTTCCCACTTTTGAACAGCTTTCTCTGTAGATGCATCATCCAACTGTTCATTTATAAATGAATGTTCCAATGATCGTTGTAAAAATATTTCAGCATGTTTAATTAATGAAAAGGATAAGAGTATTCCACCTCTTCCAAGACGAGCCATTCCAGTTTTAGCAAGTGCTGTAAGACCTGTTAATTGACCAGGTGCAAGATTTCGTAATAAACGATTACATACTCTTTTTGCTCTTGAGAATGAACAATTCAAAGGATGATCATGTGGATTTTTTTCACATTCTTCTCTACATTTGCTTGAACAATATAATGTAAAACAATTAGCACAAGCACACCATTTTGAAGCTTGTGAAACTGGTACAGGTTTTGTTAAGCATGTAGATCTACCACAGCTTATATAGAGTAAACCATCAACAGGATGACGTGCAATTCCACCGGAGAGTTGATTTAATCCAAATTCACCGAGATTTAATGGTTTATAACTATTTGGTCCAGAAATAAATTGTAAATATTCATAACGATGAGAATCATCTTTAACATCAAATTCATGTGCTGCTATAGAAATAGCTTCTGCTGCTGTAGGAGGTAGATAATGATGCTCAGCTTCTGGATGTATAGGCCACCAACCAACACTAATTAAAAGATGTTCAAGTGCTGATGGTCGATTTACAAGTAGACTACGATGTCTTGATGAACATGTATCAAGTAATGATGTTAAACATGTTAAATCAGATATTTGATCAAATCCATCTGTTACCTCAGATTCACTTTCACCTTCAGCATCTACTGAATAAAATTCATTATTTAAAATTTTATCTGATATATTTATAATCTCAGAATTATCTACACTTAGATCATTTTCAATTGAAATTTCATTCTTTAAATTCTTCACTTTAATATATTCATTTGATTTAACGATTATATTTTCATGTTCAGTATTATTTTTATTATATTATGTTCTACAGATATTTGTTGATGTTCATTTGAATTCTCTGTACCAGAATCATGATCAACATCTTTTATATTCAATATTGAAGTTGAATTTTTAGTGTAAATACTTGGTGAAGATATAATCTTCACATTATTTATTGTATCATATTGAGATATTTTTATTTGAGAATCATTTAAATATGATGATGTATGCATTAATGATATTTGATTATTATAAACTTCTAAAGGTTCAGTTGTAGCTCGATTAAATTGATTCAATTTTTCTTTATTCCATCTTTGTTCATATTTAGGTATAAAATCTTGTGGATTTAATTCAATTAATTTTCCTTGACCAATATTTCTATTATATTTTGGTGTAATTTGTATTTCTATATCTTGTATATTATCCGGTTTATATCGTTGTCCATTTAATAATGAACGCATTGAATTATTCAATTTTGATTGAATAGGACGTAAATGATTATTTTGTTCAGTTTTTGTTTTATTAATTGACTTGGTCGTATAAAATTTGATGTATATACATTTTGTGATTTTGGCCAAATTGGTTCAGCTACTGTTTCAATTATTTTCAATGATGAATTCATTGTTGTCAATTGTAAATTATCATTTGATTTACACGTATTTGATAATGATCTAAGTGAGGAGAGAACTGATTTCGATGATCTAGGTGTATACATTGTATTAGGAAAATATTTTTCATTTGATTGTTTTATTTCTGATCTAGATTCCTTACCTGTTGATGTTATAATATCTGATGTTTGTAAACAATTTGCTTTATCTAACCATTCAGGTATATGTAATTTTGTTAATGATTGAGCTACACGTAATTCATGTGTTGATCTTGCTTTCTCTTTTAAACGATCAATTAAGCCTTGAGCACCACTATTTGTTGATTTTCTTTTATTTTTACCTATTTCATAATGGCATTGTGATTTTTGTACTTCATTTTCTTTATTATTTACAAGACCTTGATAACTTTTAGCTTTTTCCCATTGTTTATCATTTGATGATTGTATTAATGTAATTTCATTCTGTTGAGTTGTAACACTTCCATTGAAATCATTCGATTTTTGTCGACGAAATGATCCAGGTGTATTTGAAAATGTTAGATTATATAAACTACGTGTTCTATCTTGATATGTATCAATAAGTGGAGTATCGAATGATTTATCATTTATCTGTGTATTCAATTTATCTAAATCTGTTTCAAGAATAATTGATCGTTGAAAATTTTCACCTGTATCAATATCTGTTTCAAGTAATGAACTATACGATTTTGCATCACCAAGAGATTTTTTCATTGATATTTTATCGATATGATTAATTTTATTATCATTTGGTAGAATTGGTGAATATGCTTTTTGAATTTGAGCATCTAAATCAAATAATGAAGCAGATTGTCTTGCCTCTGAATGTGATTCACTTTCTGTAGTCAATTGATTTACTGCTTCATTTGTATCAAGTTTTGACTGAGCAATAGCTGAATCTATATCTGTAAATCTATAACGTGAATCAGAACGTGAACTACGAGGACGATAAGTTATAGGTTGAGAATTTTGTATTGAACGTGATTGACGTTCTTCATATCTTTTACGACTAGAACTTCTTAGTCTTTCACGTATTTCTTCATCAGTTGGTATTGGTTTTAAATGCCATTTTGTACGTTGAAGATACTGAGAAGGAGGCTTTGAAGTAATCGAGCTAGGAGGCAGAAGAATATGGCGTTGCCTAGGTGGACTTGGACTCATTTGTCTTTGTTTATATGAAAAGTCAATGGGAGTATGAATTACTTTCATACGAGACTTTAGACTAGATTGAGTATTTTCCTTCGGTATGCTTACTCTGTATGACTCTTCATTTTCTACATTAACACTTGTATCTATTTTATAGCTCTGAGATGATGGTGACAGACATAGATTCTCGCCTGGACTTTTGTTTATCTCATCATGGTTTGTTGTTTGCATACGAGTTTCATCTTTCACGGAAACAGATTCATATAAATGACACACATTAGTTTCTTCATCAGTGCTTCTCCCAGTTACATCTACTACTTTGGTTTCATTTTCTTTAAGGCTTTTAGATTCACCTAGTTTACTTATTGACTGGTTGTCTACGAATGTCTTTTGTGGCATCTGAGGGTTAGGTAGTATTGGTCCGGGTATATAACTAACTGAGTAATTTAAGTTTCCTCCATCACCTTGTAAAATGCGACTTTTTCTCTGTGATGCCAGTTGAATATCACCTCGTGCAAAGTTTACTGTAGGGGAACACAACTGTGTGCGATGATGATCAGATATAGGTTCATTAATTGTTTCAAATGAAGCTGTTTTAGTAGAAACTTCTTTCTCTTGTAACAATGAGCTACTATTTTCAATACGCCTTGTACGATCTTCCACAATAAATGGTGATTTAGCGAAAATTGATGATGATGAAGTTGATGCCATCGGTATTGACTGTCTTATGGCAATGTTAGATGGTCTACTTAATCGATTGTATTCATCCAATTCATTATCATAGACGTGTTCATTGAAATGCTCCATATGCATTTCATGTGGTTTGCTGAATTTCGTCTCATCACTTACGCGTAATATACGATTTATTGGTTTCAAAGATGTATTATTTTCAAACTTTTCATATCCACTATAGTAACCATGTTCATTTTGGCATGAATTTCGTAGGCTTGATTGTAATTTTTCATGTTTGTACAATGATTCTGTTAAACTGTTGTCGTATAGATTTGATGTGTAAGCATTTTGTGTATTGTAATTTCCAGTGGTCGGGTTATATCCTTAGCGAAAGAAATAGGAATAGAAAAAAAAATTTTAAAGATTGATTACAACCATTTATTACAGAGTCATATTAACAAAAAGATTACTTGCAGGTTAGGGAATCTCACTGAAATTTCAGGGGAACTATTTAGAAACAAGTCACTCGTCAACATATGACATTATTTCAGTCGGCAGTTTTGTATTCAAAACTTTGTCTACAAAGTAACTGAATGTTGACGACTATCGAACTGGTTGAACCAGCCAGCTGATTTTCTTCTTGAATAGTTGATTGACATCAGCTGAAAAGCACAGTCGAATCATGATTTCATAAAGCCTTTCTATGGAGTTAGTAGAGATTTTTACAGTAATTTTTAGTGATGAATTTTAGGTTTAAACTCGGAATGAACTGAATAACTAAAAAGGATGTCAACTTTTAAAAAAGAAAAACTTGTTTTATTTCGGTGACTAACATTCCAAGCATTTATTAAATTCTAGTGTAGCAGAAAGGATAAGTCAGTTACTAGCTTCTCAAGTCACAACAAGTGGTTAGAAACTTCGCAAAGCGTATAACAACTACAGATTTACACTGCCTTACATTTGAAAGTACAGTTACATTTATCAAAAATCTCTGTGTTAGGATAAAGTAGTAAGAAAGCGATTATTTTGTTTTTATCACACCCTACTTAACCCTGTGACTAACACAAGAAGCGTAAAAGTAACTGAGTTGGTAGGTGAAAAATTCCATCAAGTATAAGAATACTTATGTAATGTATTCTTTTACACATGACTTCAAATAGTTTAAAAGATGGGTTAGCATTGAAAAGAGAGTGTATCGCATCAAAACAATGCTCATGTGCTTCTCTCCCTCTCTCTCTTTCTATATATATATATATATATATATATATATATATATATATATATATATATATATATATATATATATACTCCGCTGGATAATAAAATTGATTTCAAAGCATGCATAACTTTTTTAAGAACAGATTAACAGAATGTAAGGATACTAAGTGGAATTATTTTCTTTTATATCGCAACACATCAACAGTGTGTGTAAGAAGGAATGTAAATGATAAATACTATTTATTTAAACTAACCAACTAATTATGAACAAATGGTTCCAGTGACCTTATCATATGTCAAACGAACAATATTTTTGACTGCCTATCTCCTTATGTCTTATTCTCGAATAATGAAAAGCTGTCAAACTGTAAAAAATATTAAAATCTTCCGTTATTGTTTTAGACATCAAAACTTGTGAATTTCCGTCGTTGATTGCACCGGACTGAAAATATAGGCAATAGTAAGGCAGAAATGGCTCATCAGTTTGGCCTAGTCAACAACGGAAATTCACAGGTTATGGCACCAAAAGTTTATTATACTCGTCACACAATGAGTAGCTGTCGTGATTCAGTGGTCTAGTGGATAACGATCTAGTGTTTCGGGTGTCTGGTGCTGGGTTCGACTGTCAGTGGGAACAACAGCACTCACTGGGAAGTGGATACATCCGACGGATGATTCCCACTAGGAAGAAACGAGTATTCTGGATTCCACTGCCAGCCACTATCTATCATTATTATCATCTGTTATGGTTTAGCAATATTTTTTGTTACACTGCCACTGAATCTGACTTTTATGAGGGTTCATAAGCAAAAGACAGTAGGAATACACAAGCGATTTAAACATTTCCTTTATTTAGACCGAGTATATGACGTTAAATAACTGATGAATTAAGTTTTGGAAAGACTAAATGGTTATCGTACTCTTAGATCATTCAGTCGTGACGTCTGAAGTGTACCAAACCTGACTGTAATACTTCCCTCTCCATTAGTCAGTTAGTTTGGGAAATGGAAGACGTTTTGTTATCCCATACTGGACTGTTTTGTCCCTTCCAAGACAGATAATAAACTGTCTGTTGAAGGAATGTAACTCACTGTCTGTGGGTCAACTAACACTAGATGTTTACTTTATGATGAAAAAAATGGCTAAGAGATTAGTTAATAGATATTTGTCTATTTAATGATTACTATTACTAGTAAAGGATTAATTGTTTCACATTATGAAAATCATGTAAGATGTTTATACCTGATGCCACCAACAATTTACATGTCTGTATGAGAATGGGTCTGTGTGTTTGAAAAAAACAATTCTGACGTTTCTCATGGAAGTTTGGTTCGAGATGTTTTTCTTGAAGAAGATGAAACTAGACTTCAGTGCGAAATGTTGGAATCATTTATCTCAAACACATTGAGATGTATACAACTACAACCTATTATCTAATGACAAATATTTACTTGGCGTTTGATGCTTATAATACGGTTGTTTTCTGACCGGAAATCATTTCAAATATTTTTCAGTTTACTTGTTTTCTAAAAGTTTTACTCAAAATTGCACTGTAAAAAGCTGATCTCTTTATATTAAATTATAATTTTGGACAGATAGTTTTGGAACAGAATGTAAATACAGAAATTTGAATGAAGATATTGATGAGTTCTGGACTGAAAGTAGTATACATTCATGGACCTGATTTATTTGAGAATCTCAAACTGGAAGAAAATCACCTGTTCATTACTTCTTGGTTTTAACTGATTCTAAACAACCACTATCAACTGATGACAGAATTTAACATCAAATGAAATATCCGGCTGAAATTGAAATCTGTTCTCTATATAGAATGTCTACAAATTTGCACATTAACTGCAAAACGACATATAATTAAGTGTAATAGTGTTTTCAAACAGACCATCATAACAAATAACGAATCTAAACAAATAAAACAGAAGCATAATTCATAGTTCGCTTTACATTCACTTGTATATAAATCATAAATGTAAGGCAAATTAATTGAAATCGAATTAGAATAATGATAAAGGAGTTAAAAAAGCCATCATAATTGGAAACGATGCACTACATTACTCACAATAGTCAGTCTACTAGCCACAGATCGATGAACAAGTTAATAACTGGTGAAAAGTCAAACGTAACAAGGTAATCACAATAGGTCTGGAATATATATATATATATATATATATATATATATATATATGCATTTTATGTTCTTTCAGGTTTTGCTCATTTTTTCTGTCAAGGTTGCGGAGGATTAATTAGAAGATGCGTTTTCTGTTTAACTTGTTCTAGAAGTCAACCTGTATAAACACGTGTAGTGATGAATGAAGTAGTCCTTAAAGCAAAAAAAACTGTACGTAATTCTGGATCTCTCTTTAATGAGTATAATAACTACACTTTCACAAAATAGTGAGTACTAAACATTCATGTTAGGACATGAAATATGATTAAAAAGAGCAAACATTGAGCAGAATAAAAGTACTTGAGTAAAAAAAGTAGTACTTAGAAGTTTTAATTTTAAAAATCATGACTTAGTTATTTGCTATTTTGATAACTTATCAGAAGGTTCTAGTGATAACAATTGAAAGATATAATATCAACCAGTGAAACTGTGTTCTTTTACAGGGACTCCAGTATATCTATTTCAATCAAAGGAATAAATTAGCAAATCTCTAGTATTACTAATAATTTTTCAACTGAAATTAAACTCTAATACTTGTTTAAAATGTGAATACCTTTTGTCGACCAATAATAGCGCCATTCACCGAGATGATTTATTAAAACGCTATTTATGATCAATTATATTTGAACAGAAAATCTTTTAGTTATCCTATGTTGTACTCCTAAATGAAACTTGGTATTATAATACTTTAAAATCTGAGAGTTTATTTTGTATATGTAGTAAAAATGAAGTGAAAACACCACCTCATTATCTGCTACATTTTACATAGATCATGTACTATAGGGTCAGAATGATCTTTCCACGAATAAGAAGTTATTATCGTTTGTTCTCATGTTTCATGCAATGTCATAGATCACGTTACAATGAATGAAGAGTCAAGCTTATTGAAATGACACCAAATGACTTGATCATATTTTAGTGAGAGTGTGAATTCCTAGTTTACAATGAGGGTTGTATCAATGTTTGTCGTTCTCTGGGGGTCGGCACTTCAAATGATATTCCTCTTAGTGTTGAAAAAGTCATGAATATGGAAGCTATTGAATCAGAATGACCAACCGTTGATGACATGTTGTCAGCGTTTAAGGATGTCACAGCACTGACAGAAAATCTCGCTAAGCTGTCATTCGCTTCGTGGTTGTCTAGTGTGAAAACTTCCAACTAATCATTAAGGTCAGTGTGTATGAGGTTAGTGTTTTGCCTCAGTAGCGCAGTCAATAATTTCGTGACATTCAAAGCAAAGTATGCTAGACTCAAGTGTTGGTGGAGTTATGAATACAAGTCCGGACAAATTCAACTGAAGGATACCAGACAGGAGGAGAAGTAAACCTTCATATCTACTGGTAGCCGTTATTAAACACACCCCATATCGATAACGAAAACTTTGCTGTGGAATTCAAGGTATGCGGAATTTCATCGACGCGACACCTATTCTTTAATTAGTTGTCTAACTGCCACTTTGCAGCTTTCATAAGTTCCACAATCTAGCCGTAAGCAATAAGCTGTTCAGCCGAAAATACACAAATAACGACAGCTCACCACAAAGGGGTCAGTTTTGTCAATCAAACATGAAGAAAAGTGTCTAAAATCCCACCAATAAGATTACACCATGAATTCTGAACACTGTTATGATCAATGTGTTCAGGAATCAAAACCGTAGCCGACAACTTCACATACGTACAAGCAGAATTACCCTATTGATGTTACTTAGATAACTACTGAAGAACATGAGTGACTGACTAAAGAAAAAAGCTTCAGTAAAGTATCTTCATGATTTTGGTTGAAAGACCTCTAAACATCAGTAATGAAGAAACAATTAGAAGATAACAGTAAAAAGTATTTGTCAAAACGAAAATTTCATTGGTGTCGTTAGTATTAGCGTTGTTGCTACTCCAAGTTCAATACCCTTCATTTAGAAACTGACTACCTGTAATAGTAAAGTTTCTTAGAGGTAGTTACACCTAATTGTATTCGGCAATGACT